CGGCTGGACAATTTATGCAAGGGGTTTCCTGAGTCCCTTCCCAGGGGCACTCCCAGAGGGGACTACATGGGGGACTTACATGACAACATATTTCTCCCATCAGGCACTGCTGCACGAGAGGGATCCTCCTCCCAGAACACACCGTTAAATGGATTATCCCCTCGTGCAGCAGAACCGACAAGTTATACAAAAATCCATAACTGGGTTAATATACGGTGGATTTACACGAATGGACGTTCGGTAGATAGCTGGGGTCTGAGCGCATCATTCGTGTGATTACCGCTCAGATCCCAGCTAAAATAACCGAACGCCGCACGAAAAACACATTTCTTATAAAACATATAAAAAGGACCGATTGTTTTCAGGGAACAAAATCCCGAATGGCCCGAAACTCCCGAACGTCCTGGAAGCTCAGCGGTGTTCGTGCCGTCGAGTAGCCGTTTTTAGTACCATGCGCTCGACGACCTAACACCGCTGAGGGAACAAAGGATCCAAGATGGCCGACCGCCGCATGGTCGGTAGTCGAACGACGGCCACCCAGGAGAGCCTCTAATTACCGATTGCAGCATTGTTGCAATCGGTTAACTAGCGCCACACGCCTCTAAGTGTGTGGGCTATTAGGGGTATTGCGTTCGGTTCACGAACGGCCCTCCAAAGTGCCGTTCGTGAAACGAAAGAAAACCCCCATACAAACCGCCATTTGCATTCAGCGGAAAAGGCAATTACAGGCAATGCAGAGAATACATAAAGCATACACATATAGAGTAAAGCGCATATCTCCCCAGACCTATAGGCAACCCTTAAAGGCATAGTCTCTAGTTATAGTCCAAGTGGCTAGGTTTGCCACACACTTCATATCTGAGAGTCAAATACAAGCATCAAATACTGCTGTCACATTGCAGTTTTAAAACTTAAAAAATTTTGGATGCTAAAAAGTACATTATATCTCATATCTGAGAGTCATTCTTATTTTCTGGGTGCTTATCTGCTTAATAGTAAATTTGGGGCGTGCTCTTCATATCTGAGAGTCAAATAGAAGCGTCAAATACTGCTGTTACAGCGCAGTTGTAAAAATTCTATTTGTTTTGGTGCTAAACTGATAAATAGTACATTTGGGGCGTGCTCTTCATATCTGAGAGTCAAACAGAACTGTCAAATAGTGCTGTGACATAGCATTTTTAAACATTCAAATTTTTGGGCTGCTAAATAGTATATTTGCTGCCTGTGGTGCACTTCATATCTGAGAGTCAAATAGAACCGTCAAATACCAATATAACAATATTGTAATTCTGGGGCAATACCCTCACAAAAACTGTTGCCTGGATACAATTCTAAAACAATTTCCATATGTCCTTTGCAGACTTTACATGCTGGAAAAACACAGGTGCTAACTGCTGTGGCTTTCTGACGTGTGCAGTTTGGAGGAAGAGGCGCTGGTCGCACAGAGGCACCAGCACAGCTTAAGAGGGAGCAGGGTGCAAAAGCGGAGTGACCGTCCCCTAGCGCTCGTCGTCATTTATTATCTTTAGAATTCCCACAGTTATCCCAGTAACAGATGGATCGATAAAAGGAACCATAACAGATTTAACAAGTCATTTGCAGTCTGGTGACCGGGACCCAGACACTGTCTGTGCGGTGGTCGGATGACCGGGACCCAGTATGCATGATGTTGAAGTTAGGAGTCACAGTGTGGAATGGATTAGCAGGGTCTGGTGCAGGGTAACCGCACGCCCCTTGGTGTTGAGCACCAGAGTTTGTGCGGCCACATACCAGGACCCTGATGCAGCTTCATCAAAAAGAGTACTGGATACCAGAAGCCATCACCAGACTGATCTGCAACTTGGAACAGGATGTGACATTCACTGTAGCGGCTGTGCGTGTTTTCGGTGTTCTCAACCTGCTGCTGCTCGCATGTCTGCACTGAAGCGTAACTTTCGCCTTCCCGCTCACCGCCTCTTATGCGACGTGCCCACAAGGTGGAACTACACCTTGCACACGCTGGAGAGACTGTGCGAGCAGCAGCAGGTGATAGTGGAGTTTCACTCGCTCTGCACCAGACATGCCCTCCAATTGATCAGAGTTAAAGGATTTCAAGTGGACTCATTACAATTACGGGGCCTCTAAAGAGTCCTGTATTGTTATTTGTCGTCATTACCTTCCCGCGTCAGGAGTGGGTCTTTTGCGTGCCTGCTGCCTTCCTTGAATGTGGTAGCCATTTCTCAGGCTCCCTCTCAGAAATCAAACCCTGATTCCCTGTTACCTGTGGTCACCATGGTAAGCGCAGTAAATGGCATCGAAAGTTGATATGGATGACATACGAATGCATCGTCGCTTTGTTATTGGGGAGCCCATTGAAAAAGTGCTCAAGCATGACAAGCCTGGTGATCTCCTCCGTGAACTTGGCTTGATGGGAGTTGAGCCAGTTCTGGGTGGCCCTTGTGATGCGGCATGCCCACTCAGCATGGGAGTCCTTCTCCCCTTTCCGGGTCTCCCTAAACTTTCGGCTGTATTGCTCGGGGGTGACCGCATACCGGGCCAGGAGGATTTGGGTAATCAAGAGATAGTCTCTGATCTGCTCTTCTGGTACAGCCAGGTAAATATCCGCTGCCTTCCCCACTAGTTTGCTGGCCAGGATGGTGACACAGTCGCTGGGGTCCACGTCTTGGAGTAGGCACTGGCTCTCAAAGTCTTGTAAAAAGTCATCGATGCCTTCTTCTGCTTCCTTGAAGTCTTTGAAGGCATTGTATGGTAGCTTGTGGGCCAGGGTGGTTGTGCTTCCCTCTGCTCCCTTCTTCCTTCATCTGGGTTCATGGAGGTCGCCTTCTGTCTATTGGCAAGGACATAGGCTTGCACCTCCAAAAAGGTCCTGCTGACAATCTCCTCTGAGGGGGGCTCTCAGTAATATGCTAGGCACCATTACACCTCCTTGCGCACTCCCTCCTCGTCTCCTGCTGCTGCTCGCCTGTCTGTGCTGCAGCATAACTTCGGCCTTCCCGCTCATGAGACTGTGCGAGCAGCAGCAAGCGATAGTGGAGTTTCAGCTCCAGCACGCACGGGTCAGTCACTCTGCGGAACAGAGTTGTCTTTTTTTATATGTCCCAATATTTTGGGGCCTACCCCAATTAAAAAACATAAAAAAATTATATATATATATATATATATATATATATATATATAAAAAAACAGTGTTGGCTATCTTCTCCTCCTAGACCGCCACTTCCACCTACACCGCCACGGTCACTGCCTCCTCAACCTATGGGTCATGTAACAAAATGTGTAGTATAATGGCTGCTTTTATATATATATATATATATATATATATATATATATGTGAACTCAGACTATTTGTTGGTTTACCTTCTGACTATGGCCCTGGGATTTATGGCATTTGAAAACACTATTTGTGCCCTGTGACAAAACTGGAGATTGTGCACAAATATGAATATTGTACATATTTTCTATGATTCCCTTCGTTTGTTGCACTGTTCCCCATGTGTTTCATCTGTTGGTTCGGCTGGATAGACTACCAGACAAACTGTGAAGTTACTGGGTGGCCACCATTTCATGTATCAGAGGCACATGGTGAGAACAATGGATGGTAGCCATTTTAACTCACAGACACTGTTTTGACTTTTCTACACGGTGCCATCTCGCCGGTTTTAAACTACAGAACAGGGAACACATTTAACAGTAATTATTTTTCATATAGCCTGCATATGTTCTGTAGAATCTGCATTAAACCGTATCTTCCAAACTACTGAACGGATCTGGGTGAATTTTGGATATGTGATATATTTTAAAATACTGTATTTTCCTGCCTGTGATAATTAAGTTAGTCTATTGTGTTGAGCTAATTGTATCACAGGCAGAGGGGAGGATTTCTGATGTAATAAATGGGAGTGTTAGCTGTGTTGTAATGTGTTGATTGGTTGTTCTTCAAAACCCTGTGTGCAGTACTATGTTTGAAGAGGCTGTATGTGCCAGTAAAGTCAGTTCTTCTTCACCCTTCAAAATGTAGCTGTGTCTCGTTGTTGAAAGGGAATTTGCAGCTTAATCACTAGCTCTTTTCAGAGCTCTGCCTCTCTATTGCTCCAGGGATCCAGCATATGGGACTTCACCTCTCTCCTACAACCCAGCATCTTGCCCGGAGGAAGGACGTCGCCAATGGCAGATACCCCTCACTACCCTGGGTAGCTGATACAGGTCACTTAGTATAAACTAGTACACAATAGCAGAGGCTTGTGAAGGCCTTTTCTCCATGCATCAGGACTGCAAGAAATGCACTGCAGGCCGCAAATGTTTCTTTTTTTATATGTCCCAAATCCCAATATTTTGGGGGCTACCCCAATTAAAAAAACAAAACAAACAAACATAAAAAACAGTGTTGGCTACCACCTCTTCCTCCACCGCCGCTTCCACCTACACCGCCACGGTCACCGGCTCCTCAACCTATGGGTCACTTAGTATAAACTATGTACACAATAGCAGAGGCTTGTGAAGGTCTTTTCTCCATGCATCATGAGTTGAGTTCAGTTTGAACAATGATAGAGAATACCCTGCACTCCAACCCTCTCTCAAATGGATAATTCTGGTGATCCTCCTAACAGCCATGCTTTAGATTTTGATTTATGTTCTTCCAAAGCTAAAATCAAAGATTCCATCTAGTGCTATTTTATGGCTCTGCTGTATTTTTATTTTTATGTTATTTTAAGTGATTTCCCTATCCACTTAACCCCATTTTACTTCCTTTTGCAGCCCTTTAGCCCTTTCCAGGACTTTTTTAGAGGCCTTTTTGTGGCCAAAAGTTCAGGTCCCCATTGACTTCAATGGGGTTCGGATTCGGGTTCGGGGTCAATTTCGGGGTCAAGTTCGGGGTCAAGTTTGATCCCGAACCTGGACTTTTATTCAAAGTTCCTCCTAACCCGCCGGACCCGAACATCCAGGTGTCCGCTCAACTCTAGTCCCTGGCTTTTAACACCACTGAAATATCACCATAAGCATAAGTGCGATTATCAATGACATCGTGAGAAGCAATAAGTAACGCCATAAGATTGACATATTTCCCTCCAAGATGTCTTTCTTAATCTTATCTGGGACCATGTGCATGTTACGGTTGCCTCCAGGCTGGCTGAAAGTTGGACCGTAGAAAGGATGCTCCTAGCGCTCACCATAGGACCATCAGCACCGTAGACACCATAAGTACTGCGTAGACCACCATAAGTACTGCAGACTCAACGAACCACCGCTGCTGGGCTATGATCTCACCGTCTGCTATCCACTCTGGACCTACGACCAGGCTCCAGGTTCCAGTAGGTGAACCTCTTCCTTCTGTAGAGCGAAGCAGGAACAGGAACAAGAGCTCTTACAAGAGCTCAGTAGCTAAGGGAGCATGAAGAGCATAGCAATCCCTGTAGTGATTATAGCTGTCCCCTACAAACATGAGTCAAGGCTGCAAGTTAGAGGGTCAAGTCATTCTGTTTATTGGCACACAAAGAACCTTCTTTTATGCAGGTTTCCTGAGATAGGACCACCCACAGGGTTTTACACAACAGCCAATAATAAACGTACATTACAGAAACACTCCCAGCAATTACACACAAAAATCCTCCCCTCTGCCTGTGATCTAATTATGTTGCACAATGGGTTAACATAATTAAACACAGGCAGTAAAAATACAGTTTTTATCCATACCCTGTAACTTTAAAACCATACATCCAATCTTCATACAAATTACATATTTAGAATCAATCCATTCAGGGGAGCAACATATTAAAAAAATGGCACAAATCAGACAAAAGTTAGCAAAAGTATCTTTTGGGGCCTGGCTGGCAGCATGGTTATCTGGCCCAAACTGGTTTTACAGAGCCCTCTAACCTGGAGACAATGGGGAAAATAATCCACTTATATCCAGGGATAGAGGCAGACTCCATTAACCACATGTCAGCAAAAGACACAAAAAGACACAAAAATACATAACTCCTATTGAACTGAACAGAACCCCCACATTCAACCTATCCCCAGATGGTTTGGATCTGAGCGCTCAATATATCCAAACAGCGCTCAAATCCCACAAATACAGTCAAATCGCCATACACACTAGGTCCATAGTCATGGGGCAGAAGGCTGGCAATTAGGCTTCTCCATAACACAGGGAAGCAGGGAAATTTGTCAAATAAAATAACAGTTACAAATGGCAGTCTGTAACGGTGCACAGGATTGATAATGTGAGTTTCGGAACCAGAAGGCACATAATTACCCAATTGCAATAGTGGAGCATAAGGCAGTCACGGGCCTGGAAAACCTGACAGGAGGGCTCTGAGCCTCGATACTATCCAGTCGTTGACCTTGCTCATGGATGCTACTAGTGAAGCGACCATGGCGTGTAGGTCGGAGTTGCCCGTACCACTTGTGCCCTCTCCCACCCTCTCCAACCTATCAGTTCGCATTAATTTGTAGAGCTCAGCTTTCCTGGCCGTGGCAGGAAAAGGAATGCAGCATCTCCGGAGTTCTGCAGTAATGCGAGGGATGGTGCACGACCTTATTGAAGTTGAACTCCCAACGTCGCCTTTGCGAACAGGTGACAAGGATCTGGCCGGAGAATTGGGTAGAGACAAATTGTCTGTGTCATCCGGTAGATGTGACATACTAAAAGGAAATAGTCAAAACCATCAGCCATTGTACCATCTTTGGTTACTGGCTGGCTAGCTAATGCCGGATGGCAAAGAATTTCCTAAGTGTGGTGTGACGAGACCAATCTCGCCACATTGCATTGGAGAAGCCTGGTTGCTCGCCTGTTGCCTTTGGATTATGGCCGCATGTTAAAAGGCTTGATTTTTCCCTGCAAAGACATGAAAGCCGGGTCATTTGGTGCTTGCCCTATTTGAGCGGTGATACCCCAGGTAGCTATGCCATGGAGCCCATTTGTATAATGAAAGACTATGGGAAAGACTTTGGCTCCATGGCAATTGAACTGCATGTGTGTGCTCTGAGCGCCATTCAGTAATAATGTGCGCTCAGATCTGAGCTATCTGGGGATATGTTGAATGTACCTGTTTTGTGCAATGGCTGCACAGTTATATGTTTTTATGTGTTTTATTGTTTTTTGCTGCCATGTGTGCAATGGAGTTTTGCCTCTGTACTTGGAGATAATTGGATTACTTCCCAATTATCTCCAGGATAGAAGACTCTGTGGAACTGGTTTTGGGCAGAAAAGCCATGCTTCTTTTGGTCACAAAGGACTACGATCTATCTTTTGAACCATTGGACCAATTTGTATGAATTTGACATATGTTTGTATTTGGAGTATGCTGATTCTGATGTAAGTTTTTTTTTTTAAATTCTTTATTTTTAGTATGCAGGTAGTTACAACAGTGCCTGTGTC